GAAAGTCGCTGAAGAAAGACGTCTGGAAACGAAATGAGAGGATGGGGAGCCAGGGGTCCTGAGGGGCCTGGAGATCAAAAAAGGGACTGGACCCTCCCGGTCTTGGCGCGCCAAACTCTCTCCGGAGCCGCTCCTAGCGCCGCGCAACCAGTCCCTACTCCCTCCGGTGAAATTGCCAAATTAAAATGAATCATTTGGCCCATAATGGCCGAGGCGCTTATCGGGGGCTAGCGGACCCGCGGCGGTGCCTTATCTCCGCCGCACACACCGCCCCGGCGCGCCTCGGCCCATGCTAACGAGGCCTAGAACGTGAGCGGGATTAGAGCGCGTCGGTGGAGGAGCGGGGTGCGGCGCGGCGCGCGGGCGGGGGGCTGGGGGCGGGGGGAGCGCCTCGGCACTAAGCACCAGGCCTCAAAATGGCCACACGCTTCCCCCCGTGGCGGCAAAACGTGAGCATCTGGCCTTTTTCTAGGGTAAAGCAACCTGCGGCCTCCCACGGAATTCCCCACCAATTTACCCCCTCTCCCCTCCCCTCCCCCCGCTCGCAGGGGAGGTCTAGCTCCTTTCCCCTCGTTTTTTTTTTTTCCGATGGGGGGGCATATTCCTCGGACGCCCTCGCCCCTCCCGCCTCGGAGACTCTCTTCCTTCCTTCCCCTTTTCCTTACGCAATATACAGAAATGCGCGAGGCGGTGGTTGGTTTTCATTTCTTCTTCGTGGTTGTATGCATGCGGTGGGATTAGGAGAGTGCGTGTGTGAGCTGTGGGAATGCGGCCCGCTTCCGAGTGTGGTCTTTTTTGGCAGGAGGTGGTGTGTGGGAGTGTGGTGGTGTCTGCGCTCTTTCGGGGTGTAGATTTGGATGCTGCGAGGCCCGTCGGCGTTGTCCTCGTTGTGCACAATTACGCTCCGTGGCGTTCTCGACGTGGGTCCGGTTCTGCGTGTTGGGCTGTGTGGCCTTTGCGGTCGTGTTTAGGTGGTTTCGTTGTTGTGTCGGGCGCGTGTGATCCCGGCTGCCCTGGATTGTGTGTCCCTGAACGACTGCATGGGACTGATTTCGTTATGCCGTGTTTGACAATGTGTGGACCTGACCATGTCTGGCCTGCGGGGCAGTGCTGGGGAGTGTTCTCTTTGCTTCCCGTCGATGGGGCTGGACCGTGTGTGGTCCTCCGGCGCGCGGCTGTGCGCCAGAGTGCTCTTGTCCTTTAGAGGCGCATTTACAAACCGCTGGGGGGTGGAGGGGAGGGCGAAGGAGAGATGGAGGCGCAAGTTGAGGAGGTGGCATGGGGGCGGGGAGAGGAATTTCACATTTTATTCCAAATTATGATGTATTCGGAAGCCAGCGTTGGCTTGGATGGGCAGACAGAGCCCTTTCGGCGGCTGCTCTGTCCGGAGGCCAGTCTGTGCCCGGGTGTTTGAGGGGTTCGTTAGTGAATGGGAGGCTCTTCCAGGCTCGAAGCTGAGCAGCGCTCGCCCAGGCCCGCACCTACCAGCCGGTGGCTGTCAGCTTCGGTTCCATCGCACTCTGGCTCCGTCCATTTCTGGTCAGTTTCTCGGGCGCGGCCGCTGGGGTCTGCGGGAGAGGCCGGCAAAGACAATGGGAGCATTCTCCAGGCCTCTAGTCTCGGGTGGGGACCCTCGGGAATATCTCTAAGGAACATTTTCCCACCCCATCTTCAGGGGAGCGACATTCCCGCGTGGGTAGGGCACTCGTTGCAACGGTGACCAGGGCCGGGTTCCATGGAGGGGCCGGGTCAGTGGTGCCCTAAGCGCCGGAAGAAAGAATTTTGTTTGTCAGTTACTGTGGTTGCTAATGTCATCATCATTACCATCGTCATTCTATTTTAATTAAAAGACTCATCTAGGGGCGAGCAAAAGCAGCCAGGAGCTTTTAGTTTCTTTGGAAGGATAACAAAGCGGCTTGGTGTTTTCTCCCTGCCCCCCACCCCCTCTGTTTTTTAAGTTGCTGGATTTGGGTTAGGGAGAGAAAATGGAAAAAGAGACAGACGCAGAGACTCGTTATAAAGCAGAAATGACCCGACCCAATGTACTGGGAATAAGTGGGTTCCTCCTTTTCACCGTTCTCCCCGTTTGGATTAGAAGAAAGAAAATCTCCCTTGTCGGACTGAAACCGCGGAGAAGACTTATTTCTGTATTTCAACCAAAACTGGGGCAAAAAGGAAGCCTTTACAGTTAATCCAAGTCTTCGATGTGTGATCTTAAACCGGACAATTTAGGCAAATGAAACAAAACCCTGGCATGGGGGTGGGGGTGGGGGACCACGAAACCTGGCTGCCCTATGCTCTGGGCAGCGGCACCGGAGTTGTGCTAAGCCTCCCTCCCTTTGCCTTGTTTATTGCTGCAAGGAACTGCTAGAATACTCCTCTACTCTGCGGGTCTGAACACCAAAAAATCGAACATCATTGTGTAGGCATGATTGAAGTCGGAAAGGGATTTTTCTTTTTCTTAGTCTGTAGGAAGAAAAGAAGGGACCTGGGTAGATCCGGTATCTTCTCTCCTCGCCCTTCTAGTTACCCACGCTGTCCGACTCCATTCTTGCTGGACAGAATAGCCTTTGGAATTAGGTTCTGGTTTCACTTTGGGCTGAGGGTGGTCCTGGAGATGGTGGGGCCTCGGAGGTTTTGCCTCACCGACCAGCATGTGAAGACAGGATTCTTATTTTTCCATGTACCTCGAACCCACCCCGCCAAACTGCGAACCCTCCCTGTCGGAGTCTGACCGGCATTCCCTAGCCCACAGAGTAGACGCCTTAGTGCTTAGAAAACAGACTCTGCTACCCCAACCAGAGAGATCCCCGTTGGAGGGTCTGAAAAATGTTCTGGACAGTCTGCGGAGGGGTCGTAGTTGCTTGATTAATTTGTTATTCCTGATTGGTCAGGTGTAAGCTTCTTTTTAATGGGAGGGGATGGAAGGGAGCTTTTTTCAACCCGCAGGTTGGGGGGAGGAGAGGGTCAGAGCTGTTCTGGAGCCCCAGGGCTGGTTGGCGAGGACTTGAGGTAATTCCCAGCCATTGACCCCCATTTCTCTTTCTCCCCCCCTCCCTCTCGCCCTCCCTCTTTCTCTCCACCCCCATCTTTCCTGGAAACTGCTTTGGGCGCGGCAGACCGCCCAGGACCACACCGCGGCCTAACTGTTGGTCTTTCACCGAGAGAGGGGGAAGCAAAGACCCCTGTCCACCACCTGGACCTCGGCTCCTGCCCCTCTTCTGCGGAGGAGTGGAGATCCTACTCAGAGGGGCCGGCCTCTCTAAATATGCCCCAGGTGAGTTTTAGGGGAGATGATTTAGGTGGAAATGCCCTGGGAACCCTTGCTTTGGGGCTTGGGGTAGAGGACGTTCAGGGCCAAGGCAGTCCTTCTCCGAAGGTGGGATTAAGTGGGGGTGGGGATTCAAAGCTGGGATTTCTGAGACTTGCGGATAACTGTGTCTCTGTGGCCTTGGGGGGGGGGACTTTTTCCTTTTGGGACCCGGATAAAGACAGCTGGTTGGATTTGAACCCCCTGGATGATCCCATCAGTCCTGGTTCTGTGGCCATTTTATAAGGGCCGGAACTTTGGGGCAGGCGGCTCTATCCGGGAGGGCAGGCTGCCCTAGCCTGGACTCCAGCAGGAAGAAGGCCGCAGCCATCCTGGCTAGCACAGTCCCAACCCGTGGGCCTAAGGAGGCCTGAGTCCCAGGCGGGGCAGCGCCTGAGCACCCACCCATTCCCGGGGTGGTGGGGAAAGGGATTCTGTTCACTGGCAATTTGGGATCTTGTATAGACATGGGCTCCCTGAAGGGGTACAGTATAATGGGCCCGGAAGGTTCTTAGGCAAAGGCTGTAGCTGGGGTGCAGCTGTGACTGTTTTCATATTATAAGAAATTCCATGGGGAAACAGGGGAGCTGCAGGAGCCCAGCGCCTGCCTCCAGGAGCTGCCTGTCTGTGTCTTGGCTGGAGGCTGAGCAGAGATGGGGCCGAGCAGGCACAACCGGAGCCCAGGATCAGATCTTGCCTTCTGCATACTGGGTCTTGGCCGACACAAAGGCAGAGTAGTTACAATGGTCTAGTGGATCGAATTGAAACCTCAACCCCTCTTTAGCTTCCCCACATAAAAACAAATAAATAAAAATCACTCAGCCTTTCCTTTTAGTGAGCTTAACCAAAACTAAGTGATGCGGTCCGGCAAATGAACGTACTTGTGGGTCCTCCTGTGGCTTCCTCAGGAGCATAGTTCACCAGGGGGATCCTGGTAGCAGAAGAGCTGGGGGGGGTGGTTCTGTGCTTCCCCCCTCCACAGCCTCCAGGGGCCAGGAGAAGTGGGCCACAGACCCTGAGGAGTCATCATAAATTCCTTATAGGGAGCCTCTGAGACACAGATCATTATAGGTGTTTGGAGAGGGTATTTGGGGGCAGGGTCAACTCATCTGGAACATGGGCTTGCCTTGCCTCTGTGCAGGGAGCCCTGGCGTTAATCAGAGAGTATAAACAGTCAGAAGTGCTTGAGCTCATTCTGGTCATTGCAGTGCACACTGTTTGTTACTCAGTTAGAAGCTGGAGCTGATGCACCATCACTCCTGGATGCTCAGGGATGAGTCTGGAGAGTGAGGCAGAGAGCCCGCATTTGGAGCTGTATATTTCATCACCGAATGAGGTATTTCTGGTGCATTTCACCAAGGGTGTGGTGGTGGGGGGGTGAGTCAGGAGGTCCAGACCTAGTATACATAGGGTGCATTTCTCATAGCCGCAGTATCCTGGTGGTCCCATTCTGTGCGTCCAAATCTATTGTCTCCACCAGAATCATAAGCTCGCTTTCAATGAAGCATCTTGGTCCCCTTGCACTCACAGCTGCAGTATACCAGGCTCCAGGAAATCTTGTTGTTTCTGGGCCAGGCTCACAGGCTGGGACACCCAGTGCAGGAGTGCAGTCTGACGGAGATTCTTCAGTGGCTTGTGGCAATTGAGCTGAGCTGCAGCAGGTTTCCTCTCCCTTCTGTCCCTAGTTGTGTCCAGTATTTTTTCTGCAGGGGGAAGGATGGTTCCCAGGCATGCGCCTGTGTAGAACAGTGCAATGGCAGAATGGGAGCTCAATGGCTGCTGTGAGTGAACAGAAGGACCCTGTTTGGGACTGAATTGGATTTTTATGAATTTATTTTCAGCTATAAAATGTCTCAATTACATAATTCCCAGAGCAGAAACCTTATTTTGAACATCTTGTGAAGTCTCATGGAGTTGACTATATTTAAATTTTTCTAATAAAAACAACTCACAAATATCCCCGTATTCTGAAGCCAGATTCTCATGGGTTTTTCTGACTTATTTCATGCTGGGGCCTGGCTCCACTGGCATCCAAGCAGGGTGATGCAAAAACCCAAGCTATTGCCAGTAGAGCATCCTGGAGTGTGGTTGTGAAGACGGGGCTCTTCCACTCCAGGGGTCCATGTGGGAGGGCATACAGGGGACTCTAGAACAAGTCATCTTAACCTGTAGGATTGTGTGACCTTGGGAAAGGCACTTGCCTCCATGGGCCTTTCTCCTTGTCAATAATATTTATTCAAGCATTTCACAGTGCGTTTGAATACAAAATGGAGGTGTTCCTTCTATTTCCCAAGGAGGGAAAGGGGCATTGGGAAGTGCTGGAAGAGGTCAGAGGCCCTGGAGTCACCCCTTCCTGCTCGAGCCTGGGAGCCCAGGCACCAGTGGCCACAGGGCAGTCTTTGAATGCCTGGGCTCCACCCTGCCTCAGGCAGGGCTTCTTTGCAGACCCACTTCACTTTGGAAACAAGCACAACCCAAGGAGGTGAATTGTTCAGGGAGGTAGGGTCTGCTGCCCCCACTGAGGCTCATAAAGGTGGGAGTAAAGGACTGTAGGAACAGAGCGCACAGAATACAGGGTGGATTTGTTCAGTGTGCTAGACACTCCTGAAGGGGGGGTGACTGTGTTGGAAGGGGCATTTGTTTCCCCCATAAGTTTCTGTTAGCTCTACTAGAGTGGACCCTAGTTCTGCTGCCTCCATTCCGTAAGTTCCCTGCTCCCCTCCTCCAGCCTACAGTCCCCCCACCTTTTTCTGGGTGTCTGTGGGGGGAGACAGAATGGGGGAGGGCCTTGCTGAGGTGAAGGAAATAACCCACCTCCTCAAGACAGATTCCCCGCCAAAACCCAAGTGGGGGGGGCGGAAAGAACACTGTCGGGGGATATGCGCCCTCCTCTTCCCCTGCGGCCTGAGAGGGGACAGGCGGCCTTTCTTTCTCGCCTGCCTCGTTCTACATTTCCTTCCTCCTTTTTCCCCTTCTGTTTTTCTTTCGCTGGCGGTATCTCTCTTCTCCCAATGTGTGTCACCTTTCTCCACCCCTGCCCTTTCGAGCCTCAGTGTCTGTGTCTCCTTCTCCCCTCATCTCCCAAACCCGCACCCCCTTTCCCTCCCTTCCTCGCCCCACCAGGCCTTCAGACCCCGAGGGCGGGTGTGTGTCCACGTGGCTTTAAGTTTGTGGCCTCTAGTCCGTTCTCCGAGGGTGCGTGCATTTCTCTCTCTGCCCCTCGCCCTTCACCCCGCCCCGTGGTGGGCTGCGGGCGCTTGTCAGAGCGGGCGTCCGCTTGTCTGTCTGTCTGCCCGCAGGATGACGGAGCGGCCGCCGAGCGAGGCGGCACGCAGTGACCCCCCGCTAGAGGGACGGGACGCGGCCGAGGCCCGCATGGCCCCCCCGCACCTGGTCCTGCTGAACGGCGTCGCCAAGGAGACGGGCCGCGCGGCCCCGGCGG